GTATGATAGAATGAATGTAAAACTAATGTTCTCCCATGTAAACTATCACATAATTCACAATAAAACATTTAAGAAAAAAAAACAAAAAACCTATGTCCCTGACTGCTCACGCCATAAAAAATATTCTAAACCCCAATTCTTAATGGTGTAGGTCTTGAACCACCCCCATCCACCCCACCCTCACCCTCCCGCCCAGGTACTCAGTCAAAACACTAACTATGTTCATGAAAATCAGCCAGGACTCAGTAAAATTCATTGATTCAAATGTTGCTGATTTGGAACAAAGTGATTCAGAATGATTCAAAGCTTGGAAGGGTGTTTTCCTACACTTTCCCCGGAGATGGCAAATTATGTATGAAATCAAAGTAGAAATGTTCAAAACACAGAATCTGTCGGCACTGAGAAGTATTATCTGACATACAATCAGTGTGCTCGGTACCAATTATTGCCTATCAGAGTTCAAAGCCCTCTATTAACTACTTAAGGGGCTCTGGTGGCACAATGGGTAGCGCTTACTTGCTATCACAGAGAGGTTGGTGGTTCAAACCCACCAGGTGGAACCATGGGTGAAAGACACAATGGGGCAGCTCTACTCTGTTACATGGAGTCCTGGTGTGGTGCTGTGGGCTAATGCGTCAGACTGCAAAGTCGTTTGAATTGCAAGGTCGGTGGTTCAAGCTCACCAGCTGCTTCTTAGAAACCCTATACAGGGTCGCTATGGGTGGGAATCCACTCGACAGCACTTAACAACAACTGCTATATGGAGTTGCTATGGCACCCAGCGACAGCAACAGCAACACAACAACAATAAAATTAAAACAGTTTTAAGTAATTATTACAGCAAATAAAATATACAGCAAAGACTGGAGATGCTGAAAAGCAATACGCCTGTTATCTTTGTTCTATTCTTTGTATTTTAAATAACAGCCAAGATTATTGAATGATTATTTTTTCAAATGAGAAAGAAACACGTGGCAACAAATTCAAGCAGGGTGAGAGGGTATGGAGTGAAAATGAAGTTTCTCCCCAGAGACCATCCTTGTCCACCAGTGTCTTACATTCCTTCTAGAATTTTCTACCCATAGAGAACAGTTGTGCATTCTTTTTTTTTTTGCGTTAAATAGCATTAAAAAAAAAAAAAAAAAAAAGTCCATACTTGTGATTAGCCTTTCTCCAATTAGTTCTATCTTGATTTGGGTGGTGGGTATGCACCGTTGAGTTCTAACTCATGGCGACCCTGTATAGGGTTTCCTACACTGTAAGTCTTTACGGAAGCTGAAAGCCTCATCTTTCTCCTTCAGAAGGGATGGTGGATTTGAACTGCTGACGTTGCGGTTAACAGCCCAACTTCTAACCCACTACATCATTAGAGCTACTTAGTTCTACCCTGTTGTTACTGTGAAGTGCCACTGAGTCAGTTTCAACTCATAGCGACCCTGTATAGGGTTTCCGAGGAGCTGCTGGTGGCTTTGAACTGCTGACCTGTGGTTGGCAGTCTAGTGCTATACTACAGCGCCACACCTAGTGCCCGACAAGATACTTCATGAAACATTGCAGATGTAATATTCAATTGTTGTTGTTAAGTGTCGTTGAGTCAGTTCCGACCCATAGCGACCCTGTACAGGGTTTCTGAGGCTGTAAATCTTTACGGGAGCAGAAAGCCTCATCTTTCTCCCATGGAGTGGATGGTAGTTTCAAACTGATGACCTTGAGGTTCTCAGCCCAATTCGTAACCACTACGCTACCAGAGCTCCTTTATATTCCATAGCCGTCAGCTTTAAAATCCCACCTGAATGGATCAGGTGCTACCTGTGGCTGATGTTTGGGCTCCCAGAAGTACCAAAACCAACCAAACTTGATGCCGTTGAGTTGATTCCAGTTCATAGCAACCCATAGGACAGAGCAGAACTGCCCCATGGGGTGTCCAAGATTGTAACTCTTTACAGAAGCTGACTGCCACACATTTATCTCCTGTGGAGTGGTTGGAGGATTTGAACAGCTAACTTTTAGTTAGCAGTTGATTACTTAATCACTGGGCCACCAAAGTTCCTTCCAGAGGTGTCCAGGCGTCCTTAAACTTTGGTCAAGGTTAGCCTGGCGGCAGATGCCCTGGTAACCCACCACCAAGAAGAGCCCTAATGACCCAAGCTTTGATATAGCGTCAGAACTATCCAAAGTCATTGGTGCTTTTTGTCGCTAAGCAAACTTACCTCGTTAATTATGATCCTGCTGGCCATCCGTAGTCGAGTTCTGGGCCCAAATTTATTGGTGATCATTATGCGTAAGCCTGCTTCTGGGAAGTTGAACTTGGGCGGGCTGGAACTCATGACCTCGTCCACCATTACCACGGGGGTTTTGCCGTATTGTGGCTTCTCCTTCACTATTGAGCACAATGTCAGGATTAGTGCTGGAACCTCCCTGAGGACACACCCAAGGGCTCAGGACTGTGTATGCCCCCTCATGTGACTGTGGACCTGGCAGCTACTTGGAAGCCAGTCTGGGTAACTGTCTTCAGCACCTCCCATTAATCAAAGTGGGGCAGTGGTTCGGCAAACATCTACCACTTGGAGTGTTAAGACAGACCTCCTTGTCTCCCCCTCTCTGACACCACTCACCAGACCCTTTACCTTCAGCCTCTCCCTCTGTGATGGCCCTCCCTTCTGGGGCTCCATCCTGGCTAACTGTTGAGGTCCATCAGCCTCACTGAGCAGTCTACAGGCAGGGTCCCCTGTCATCTTTCCCCCAGGACTCTGATTGTAAGAGCAACTTTCTCTCTTCTGGTTTATAGAGGTGCAAAATGAAACTCTACAAATTGACAGGGGCCACCTAGGATGGAAAATGCTAGAAAAGCCCTAGCCAGCACTGGCTCTTGATAGATATCCCAGGCGGCACTCTTCCCTGGTACTCATTTCCCATAATGACTGGCTATCTCCAACCCACAGGGAAGGGGGCGAACTGCTCTCTGTGAGTCAAGTGGTGGGCCCCATGATCTGGTTCATAGGTGAGGCAGCTGTGTCTCAAGAGAGGAGTCTGCTTGTCCAAGGGCACATGGTAAGCCCAGCCCCTTTAACAAAACCCAGCAACCTCCAGGAGTGGGACTGCTTCCTCTGTCGGACCCTTTTCCCCCATCATGAGGCTGAACAAGGCCTCCAATTCTTTCCTATACTTTTGGAGGATTTGACACTCTCTCCAGAGTCTCAGAAGATTCTAGAACCTAAATTCTTAACACAACACACACAGGCAGGCTGAATGTCCCCACTGAGCAGCTGTCAGAATAGAGAATCCCCTCCCTCTCATTGGTTCCCAGTTCCTAGGAAGTGTGTTTCACAGGCAATATGGTAACTAGGAACCCAATATAGGCAACCAACTCATGCATGAGTTAATGGCACGAACATGAACAAACATACACCAAACACATACCTCTCACCACACAGGCAGCAAGGCTTGGCAGACAGGAGGTGTGTGGGTTAGAAAACAAAGCCAGACCATGCATTTGTTGGAGATGGAGGCCAGCCTCCTCTGGTGAGGTAGGAACTGGGCCTGGGCTGGTGGGATTATTATTATTATTTAAAATGCATGTGTTATTGCTTGGATGAAAGTAGATTACTTACAATTTAGAAGAGGAGAAGAGTTAAGGAGACAGCGGCCAACAGTGAGGGCCAGGAATGATTAGTGTGCGATGGGTGTGGAGCGCGTTCTCATTGCAGTGCGGTGCTGGGGTTACATGGAGGAGGTTAGTAGAGGAGCTTTTACAATGAGCTTCGATGCTCCAGACTCTGGCCTACGGGGTGAGCCCTCGCCTGGCTGAATGGAAGCAAAGGCTTTACTTCTTCTCTGAGGAACAGGAGTGTCTGTGCCCATAGCCCCTTACTGCTGCAGGACAAGTGGATCCCTCCCGACCCAGGATCCTCCACTTCAGAGGCAGGGACTAGAGACCAACGAGCTGGCCTTGTCCAGTAGCTACAGCCCTGTCATGCTCTGCTGGGCTCAGAAGGAAGGAGCCCAATGGAGCGTCAGTATTCTGAGGTGGCAATCCCACTCGCTGCTCTCCATTCACCAAATGGCAGCACAAGATGCTATGGCCAAACCCAGAGAGGCTGTGAACTCACTTACAGCATGTTTCCCCCAAAGTTCAGCACAAGATCTGGTTCTGTCCCCTTCCTTCCTAACTCAGGTCATCTCAAGTCTGAGGTGGCTCTACAGCTAGACTAGCTTGATCCAATATGGTGACCAATAGTCAAGGGGCACCAGCTGTTGGGCTGGGCCCAAGGTCATCTGGAAGCCAGGGAGGAAGAGTGGATTCCCAGCAGCTGGAACCAGGGGAGCCTTCCTTCCTCCATTCCCAGGACCTTTCCTCGATGGATTGGGTCCTGCTTTCTGACCAGAAAGGTAGAGCCATGTGAAATGTCTGCAGGAATCTTAGAAAGGAGACCAACCAAATGAACAATAAAGAACTGGCCCGAGGTGATTTGGAAGCTGAGCTACATGACTTTGAAGACCATTTAAAAACACAAAAGTGTTTTATAAAGAGCAGGGGTAACACACTTTATACTTTCCTCTTGTGTGTGAGTTCTTGAAAGACTCTAAGCAGCCAGCAATCTTGTATTCTGTGGGTGGGTCATTAAATGGCATCCTGCCCAGAGCCTGAGGACAGGCTGAGAAGAACCCTGGCATCACCTCGAGATTCCCTGACAACACCATTTGCAAAGGGAAAGTCCCAAAGGCCTTGTTCTCCTCAGTCCCTCCAGAGATGCCTCCAGAAACTGGACATTTCTCCCTCCTGCTTCAGTCAAATCCGTTTCTAGGGAACAGAGCACTGGAGTGACTCAGCATGGCCCTCTGGGAGCCTTTGGTAGGACACTGGAAGTCTGAGAGGGAAGGGACAATCCTCCAATTAGAGATAGAAACCTCTAGCGTCTACATCTTTCAGCTCCCACTTTCCAATTCTGGACAAAGAGAACTGCCCTTCCACTCTTCTAGTCAGCAAGAGGCATGCTCTTGTTTTCTTCTCCAGAGCTTGAGGAAAGATATAATTCTAAGTCTAAGCTTTGCATTTTCTAGAAATTATCTTAAACTTGAAAAAATTGGTGGGGAGAAAGCAACTTGTGGGGAAGTCCTTTATGGGGACCAAAAGGGATAGAGACCATGTTAAGAAAAAGCTCCAGAAAATGACTCTGAAGGCATGAGAGGGGCTGGATTTTTCCCTGAAGGGACCAGTTGCTGAGGCCTCCGCCATCTTGGAAACAAGGACTGTGGGCAGGCAGCAAGGACACTCTGTTAGTCACAAGGGGGCGCTAGGCAGCTCTCAGACTAGCATTCTCCACCTGGTATCTCTCACTTGTCGTGATGGCCCAGGAGAGCCCAGAAGCAGCAAGTTTTATGGTTATGTGTTAGGGCAGGAAGCAGCCTGTTTTCAGAGACTGTGTGTGGGAACCTGTGAGCGAGACCTCAGAGATACTATGTCTGCGGAGTTAAGATCCAAATCCACCACAAAAGAACACTGCCTCCCCTTCTGAGGAGGTTGTCCTGGAAACGGCTCTCCCCTGGGGCAGCCTGTTCTGTATTAAGGAAGCAGAGTGATGGCATGGTTGTGTTTCCACACACGGGCTTCCTTTGCTTGGTCTCTAGAGAGTAAGTGTCTGACAGCTAGGATGTGGCCTTGACCTCACGCCACACCCCCATATGGAGAGATCCACCCTTCACTTGGGCATCTGCTACATGTGTCTGTTCTTGGAGGTTGTTTGGGACAGGGGACAGATAGTTCTTGCTCAAAGTACACATGGGGCAAGTCCTTACTCAGAAACACCTCAAAACAAAGCTCTGGGGGCAGAAGCACAGAATATAGATCAAAGCCCCCAAATGTCCCAGGCACAAGATTGCACTGCCCCTTTGAGATCACCTGACCCAACCAGCATCACAAATGAAAGTGCCTGAAAGAGGACGCCAAAGACCACAGAGACCAGGGAGAAAGACCTTCCAGATGGTCAGTCCAAGGTTATTTCATCTGGTCTGGTGAATTCCTGGTGTTTTGATATCTTAATTATCAGCACTTATTCAGACAGCAAAGCCGTTTGAACTGCAAGGGCGGCAGTTCGAACTCACCAGCTGCTCCTCGGAAACCCTATACAGGGTCGCTATGGGTTGAAACCGACTCAGCAGCACATAACAACGACAACACTCAGGCTTTGGAGTTCCTGGGTGGTGCCAAGGGTCTGCAAACTAAACTGCTAACTGGAAGGTTGGAGTTGACCCAGAGGCACCTCAGAAGAAAATCCTGGTGGTCTATTTGTGAAAAATCAGTCACCAGAAACACTACTGAACACAGTTCTGTTCTGACACACATGGGTTGCCATGAGTTGCAACTGATGGATGATACCTGGTTGACTATTCAGACTTCACGCTGGTCTCAGGGAAGGAGGCATGTGAACTCTCTCTGTTCCCGGCAGCCTCCCAGCCTGAAGGAATCACCTATGACTGGCTGGGCTTCTTGAGAAACAAGGACAAGGTTCCCAAGGAAGCAGTCAGAAGTGGACAATTCGGGGGGTTCTGTTGGAAACCCTATTTAAGGCTGCTGTGAGTTGGAACTGACTTGATGGCCCTTAACAACAACAACAAGTGGTGGCACACTGGTTAAAGTGCTCAGTGGCCAGAGGAAAGGTTGGCAGCTAACTCTGTGAAGGAGACAGATGAAGCAGTTTTCTTCCCTAAACGCCATGGGGCTGTTCTACTCCGTCCTATGGGGTTACATGAGTTGGAAGTGACTCCATGGTATTGAGTATGAAGTCGACAGGGGCTGGCTCCAGCGGCCCAGAATCCGTGTTCCCAGAAAAGCATGGTAAGAGCAGCTGAGGAGCTGAGGCTGCCCTGGCCCAGGGCAAGGGGCTTCCCTGAGGGGCCAGGGGATTCCTGCTCGGCTCAGTGGGTACCTTTCCTGGCCTTGTGGATCTTCTGGGCAGCTGCCCCGAGCCCAGGAGCCAGCAGGCCTGGCATGTGAGAAACTATGGGGAGTCTCAGGTCTGCTCCACCGCCCCCCTGTACCCACAGCTTCCTACTCTAGCCATTCACGTGGCTCAGAGAGACACTAGGGCCTTTCAGGAGAGCCAAGCAGGCCTCAAGCCTTCCTCAGGAGGTTTGGAAAAGGCCCAGGATGGATGACTTTTACTGTTTTCCTAGTATACCATCCTTCTATCCTTCTGACGTCCTGGTGTGACACTATAGGATAAGCACTGGACTGTTAACCACAAGGTTGGTTCAAACCCACCAACCACTCCTTGGAAACCCTATACAGGGTTGCTATGAGTTGGAACCAACTTGATGGCACTTAACAACCCCCCATCCCTCTAATCCTTCTGTCTAAGCCAACACCAATATGTGCAACATCTCAGACCTTAACTCTCCCTCCTCATTTAGGTGCGTTTGACCACAGGTAAGTCCGATGGTAGAATTCTGGTCTTCCATGTGGGAGATCCGGGTTTAATTCCCAGCCAATACTCCTCATGCAGAGCCACCACTGACTGATGGTGGAGGCTTTTGCCTGTTACTAGGAGGCTGTACAGATTTCAACGGAGCTTCCAGACTAAGAGGGTATAGAAAGGCCTGCTGATCTACTCCCCAAATTCAGCCTATGACAAACTATGGCTCACCACAGTCTAATCCACAGCGGACCCTGGGAATGGTACAGAACCAGGAAGTGTTTCCTGCTGCTGTAGATCAGGCTATTGTGAGTTGAGGCTGGCTGGACAGCAGCTATCAATAACAAATCCTGAGAGGGTGACAACTGAAGGGAGAGAGAGACAGTGTGTGTGTGTGTGTGTGTGCACGTGTGGGTGCGTGCGCTCCTAAGAGGAGAGAATGGCTTCAAGAACAGTGTTTGTGTCCCTCCTGTCTGCGCAGCCTTACCTGGCCCCAGCAATGGCACGGAAGGGTCATCATAGCTAACGTCATAGTAACCATTACCATCCTCCAGCTCGTTGTCGACCGTGCTGCCATTTGCAACGGTCTTTTGTTTGATGGTGAAAAAGGCTTGCATCTTCACGTTGTACCTGGAAAGATAAGGAAGGAGGTCTGTGAAGTCTTTGAAGGCCAGTCCCGATGATCACATGAGTAGGGAAGTCTGCTGGGATCTATCTTCCTCTCCCCACCCAACAAGGCCAGCCTGGCCCTGGGAGTGTCCCGCTGGGAGGGAGGTGGTCATCTGAGGGTTTCCACCGGAGCTGACAAGCTGCCTAACAAAGCCTTTTGACCTATGTGCTCCTTAGAGTTGTTACTGGGCTTTCTGGCGGCACACGAGACTTTTTAGCCCAAGAAAATGACTCACGCCGGCTTACTGCATGTTACAAGCCGGTCTGAATAAAAGAAGTTCACCTAAAGCCACAGGACAGGCTCAAAGGAGCCATCACCTGGACTGGCCAAGCAGCCAACGACACTCATGGGGCTTCTCCACAGACAGTCCCAACTTTCTCTATCTCGAAACCCTTCAGGTTGGCCCTCAGAAGGAATCCGGAAGGCCAGTCCTCTTGCAATTTGACAGGTTATCACCCATTTTTATATAACACTGTGGGCGTTTCTAGTTTCATCCAACTCACAGGGTTGTTTTCTTTTGAATTGCCTATGGAGGGTGTGAGCTGGGCCGCACCCAGAGGGGCCTGGAGCTGACACGCTCAGTAAGTACTATGAGTGGCACCCTCTGTGGTTGTGTTTGGCAGCGGCTCTGAGAGGCTGGACGTTATGATGCCAAATTTGCCTGGCTGTTTGCAGAGAGGGACATTAAAGTATCTGGAAATTTAGAGTGACAGCAAGAAGGGGTGACCGCTGTACAGGTGGAGATGCAGCAAGCAGCAGGGTACCAAGGACTTTGCTTGCCTTTTGGTCTGCGGAGCAGCCCACCAGCATGACTTTTGCCCAGCAGTGTGTAAACCTCACTTTCCCACTCTGGCCGTCCCTAGCAGGGTGCCCACCCAAGGCCTGGGGATGGCTCAATGGGATGGAAGGAGCCATGGAGGTTTCTTTAGACTGAAGCAGCCCAGAGGGAGCAGGGAATGGAAGCGCACTTACTTCATGATGAGAATATAGAACACGTACAATATGATGAGCACCAAGCCTTCCCACCTCAAAGAGAAAACGAAATTGATTAGAGCAGGAATCACATGGGGCTGCGGCAGAGCAGGAAGGCAGGCAGTGTCTGCCCATCTTCACCCAGCACAGCCCCAGCCTACGGGTGCCCCCCTCCATCTGAAGCCCCTCATCTAGGTGACTGAAAGAGGAAGCTCATGGGGGGAGTCTATTCACAGAACCCAGGCAGAGTCCCCCCTTCAACTATTGAAAGTGAGGGGGGCAGAGAAGAAGGGACTGTAAATACCACATCTCGGGGTTCCGGGCAGGTACTGACCTGGAGTCCCACAGAACCCTCCTGAGGCCCCATGGCCACCTGAGATGCAGAGACCACAGAAGCTGTGAATGTGGGTAAAGAGCTGCCCACAACCCAGGGACCTAGGAACTGACTGAGACAAGATCGGGGCCTGGGTACAGAAGCCTCTTGGGAAGGAGGTTGGAGTAGGGGGTGTCTTTCAAGGAACCCTGATGGCACAGTGATTAAAGCACTCAGCTGCCTACCTAAAGGTCACAGTTCAAACTCACAAGCTGCTCTGCAGAAGAAGGATGCGGCAATCCACCCCCATAGATTACAACCTTGGAAACCCTATGCTGTTGTTGTTGTTAAGTGCCGTTGAGTCAGTTCCAACTCATAGCAACCCTATATAGGGTTTCCAAGAAACAGCTGGTGGGTTTGAACCGCTGACCTTGTGGTTCACAGTCCAGTGTTGCTCCTACAGCACAGCACCAGATGTCCACCCTATAGGACAGTTCTACTCTGTCTACCGTATAGGGCAGTTCTAGTTCTCTAAGGTTGGTAGTAGATGGACTAGACGGAATGGCAGTGGGCTTTTAGGTTTTTTGGGTCTGGCTAGAATGCCCTTTTACAATTCTCTTGAAGTCCGCTTATTGCCTTCCAAAAGCACATACTCATGGAACCGTTCTACATGGGCACCATGGGATTGCCATGAATCGGGGTGGGTTTTGTGTTTTGTGGATGTAGCAAAAATTCTGCTTAAAGCAAGATTTTCTATGGCTCTGACCACAGGCCTCTGGGAAACCACAGACGCCGTAGCCTGTTTGTTCATCTAACAAGCATGGTGAAGGGACGATCTTAATGAAGGAACTCTTTTCTACTTCCGTGTCAAAGGCAACTAGCTTCTTATATTCTGTTCTAAGTTATTATTTTTTTTTAATGTTGCTTTTTACAGTGAGATCATTCATTCACCTGGGAGTTCTTACTATAGAAGATCTGATTTTATGACCACAACATTTGAGGTCCCCTTCCCTTCCCTCATTGCATTGTTATGGGCTTATTTCTAGATTCTTGCCTTATGCTTATCTCTGTCCAAATTACCAATGATTTTTTTTCTGATTTAGTTTTATAATATATCCTCATACTTGTTTGTTGTTGTTGTTGTTAAGTGCTGTTGAGTCAGTTCTGACTCATAGCAACCCTGTAATAGGGTTTCCTTGGGGCAGAAATCCTAAGGAAAACACTTTTTGTCACTTGGGAAGGATAAATAAAGGCATGGCTGTTTAGACTGATACAGCTTTTGATATTGTAAGTTCATAAGCTTATGTTTGCAAAAGTATTTATACAAATGATTCAATGAACTCAGCAAATAAGATATTGGAAACAAATAAAAAAGGAACTGCTAAAAACAAAGGTTGCAAACTTACCACACAATCTCTTCATCATATATAAACTGGAAGCAAGAGAAACAAAGAGAGGGAAAATTTATTCCAAACAACGAACAAAGCACCTGGAGCTGACATATCAGCCTTGTTATTTGACAACGGTTAATGTGTTCAACTTCCACTGCTAATGGAAAGGTTGGAGGTTCAAGTCCAGTTAGAGGTATCTTAAGAGAAAGATCTAACCATCTGCTTCCTGTGAATCAGCTTCTGAAAATGCTAGGAACACAGTTCTACTCTGACAAACCGGGGTCACCAGGAGTCAGGCCTGATTGACTTAATGGGCTGTGGCAAGCTTGCAGAACCAGCTCATATTGACCCTCTTACCAGCTCTGGGGTTCTCACCTGCAGAAGGAGACCTTTCCTTAGTGGGAACCTGGGCCAGAAGGACATGGAAACATATGGATCCAACTTGTTTGTTGTTGTTGTTAAGTGCTGTTGAGTTGGTTCTGACTCATAGCGACCCTGTATAGGGTTGCCAAGGAGCAACTGATGGTTTGAACTGCCAACCTTGTGGTTTGCATATGTAAATTGTATGGGTAACACCGTGAAGAACTGGAATTCCAGAACACTTAACTGTGCTCATGCAGAACTTGTACGTAAACCAAGAGGTTTATATTCAAACAGAATGAGGGGATGCTGTTAAGTTCTGACTCCTAGGGACCATGTTAGGATTTTCAAGGCGCAGCTGGTGAGTTTGAACTGCCAACCTTGTGGTTAGCAGTCCAGTACTTATCTTAGAGTATCACACCAGGATACGGCACAATTTCAAACCATAAAGATTGTATTCTTTCATCATAATTATTGAATCTGTGTCCTGAGTAAATAATCCAAGAAGCTGGATCTACATAGAAAAACGCAGGCTCAGGATTGGAGGAAGACGCATTAACAACCTGTGATATGCAGATGACACAATCTTGCTTGTTGAAAATGAAGATGATTTGAAGCACTTACTGATGAAGATCAAAGACTATAGCCTTTAGTGTGGATTGCACCTCAACATAAAGAAAACAAAAAATTCTCACAAATGGACCAAAAAACAACATCATGATAAGCAAAGAAAAGACTGAACTCAAGGATTTCATTTTACTTGGATCTTCGAGCAGCAGCGAGACGTGTAGTGTGGAGCTC